CTCTTTACCTTTGTCGTCACCCGTCACCTCCTCTTCACCTGGGTCGTCACCCGTCACCTCCTCTTCACCTGGGTCGTCACCCGTCACCTCCTCTTCACCTGGGTCGTCGCCCGTCACCTCCTCCTCGCCTGGGTCTTCACCCGTCGCCTCCTTGTCGCCTGGGTCATCACCCGTCGCCTCCTCTTCACCTGGGTCATCACCTGTCGCCTCCTCTTCACCTGGGTCATCACCCGTCGCCTCCTCGTCACCTGGGTCATCACCCGTCGCCTCCTCTTCACCTGGGTCATCACCCGTCGCCTCCTCGTCACCTGGGTCATCACCCGTCGCCTCCTCTTCACCTGGGTCATCATCCGTCGTCTCCTCGTCACCTGGGTCTTCACCCGTCGCCTCCTTGTCGCCTGGGTCATCACCCGTCGCCTCTTGGTCGCCTGGTCATCATCCGTCGCCTCCTCGTCACCTGGGTCGTCACCCGTCGCCTCCTCTTCACCTGGGTCATCACCCGTCGCCTCCTCTTCGTCTGGGTCGTCATCCATCGCCTCCTCTTCGCCTGGATCGTCATCCGTCGCCTCTTCGTCGCCTGGGTCATCACCCGTCGCCTGGGTTGTCACCCGTCGTCTCTTCGTCGCCTGGGTCATCACCCGTCGCCTCAACTGGATCGTCACCCGTCGTCTCTTCGTCACCTGGGTCGTCACCCGTCGCCTCACCTGGGTTGTCACCCGTCGCCTCATCTTCACCTGGGTCGTCACTTGTCGCCTCCTCTTCACCTGGGTCGTCACCCGTCACCTCTTCGTCGCCTGTGTTCGCCGTTGCGAAGGCTCCTGCTCCATCAACCTCTGCCGGCTTCTCATCAACTCCCTCTTCCTCCCTTGGCTTCACGTCTGCTCCCGCCTCCTCCCTTGGCTTCACATCTGCTCCCGCCTCCTCCCTTGGCTTCACGTCTGCTCCCGCCTCCTCCCTTGGCTTCACGTCTGCTCCCGCCTCCTCCCTTGTCTTCACGTCTGCTCCCGCCTCCTCCCTTGGCTCCTCCTCTGCTCCTGCCTCCTCCCTTGGCTCCTCCTCTGCTCCTGCCTCCTCCCTTGGCTCCTCCTCTGCTCCCGCCTCCTCCCTTGGCTCTTCCTCTGCTCCCGCCTCCTCCCTTGGCTCCTCCTCTGCTCCCGCGACTCCCTTGGACCAGGGGTGTTCTCTAGGCTGACCTCCAGATCCTCTGCCCCGTGTTGGATGGTCTTCTGGCTGTCCTCCTGAACCTTGTGTCTTTTGTCTTGGAGTCTGTCCTGTCGTGTGTTCCCAGTCTCGTGCCTCTCCTTTTTCGACGTCAGGAGCCGTCCTTAAGGGGGAGGTCCTGTCATAATCTGTCTTTATTTCCTAAGTTTTTGTGTTTMAGTGTTCCCCTGTGTTTCTGCAGCCCCGCCCACGCTCACCTGATTTCCCTCTTGTGTCTTCTCTAGCTTTTTCTCATTTGTCCTCATCAGTTTCCCTTTAAATGTCGTGTTTGGTCCTCAGTCTGTGTCTGTTCATTATGCTGTTTACACAGCCAGTGTGGTGTTCTCTGTGTTCCTGTTCTCCTGAGAGTTGTTGAGCTGCCCTGGCAGCCTTTTTATTTTATTAATAAATCTTTTGTTAAACTTTGGATTTTTGCCTGCGCCCTGGGTTTATCCTGCCTGCACCTCACACTGGCATGTATTACACCTCGCAGTGCAGCAGAAACCCTGATTGTATGCTTGAGAGTTCATAAATTGATCTTTTGTCATGTTTTTGACAAATTACATGTATCCATGACAACACACAGTTTTTTGACATTTATGAAAGCTACATATGCTGTGTTGCTTGGTGCACCTTGGTAGAATTGCTACTGTCATACAGAGCTTTTTATCGTACACTGTAAATATATTAAACTAATGCAGCATGGGTGATTATAAGGTATTTAAAAATAAACGAGATGTTTTTTTTCTGATGTATGTGATGGGAAATTAATGTTGTTTAAATGATTTTTAATAAAACTCCACTCATCTATTCATCTATTTAAAAGAGAACTTCTCTTACAATGGATTTCAGCAATCTGATATATGTATTGTACATTTTATTATCTAAGTCAGTGTGTACCCAGCTGTTTAATTAACTTTATTAATTTTGCAAATTTGTAATAAAAAYATGGCCCTAATATAGAAAATTTCAAACATTACCCATTTACAGTAAAGGGAAAGGTCTTGGTCAGATTGAATAGGAACCCAGCAGTCACAATTTTTATAAATTCACCACTGAAATGGAAGATTTTAAATATCATGAAAGGAGGAAATTACCAGACAGCCTGTGAAAGCCTTGTGCAAATTATTTACCTTTTTTATATTTTCTTAGGGACAAAACATGAACTAAGGGTGACTAGTTGCACTAAAAGTTTGAATTTTTTTGTGACAGTGAACTAATTGCAAGTGTGGCCTTGGGACAAATGTGACGGCACTCAAGTGACACAGCCAAAGACTTCAGACKTGTCTAAAGCTGCTGCTGACAGACACTTTACTTTCACTCAGATAGGGCTCGAAATGATCTCCTAAGAAAAAGATTTCTGCAACTCCTTGCTTTCCCAGAAGAAGTCAAAGCTGTAATTGGTTGAAAGAGCACTGAATTAATGGTCTGAGTAAAAGGTCTGAACCTACCTACTCATCTTTTAATTGGTACAAAGGACCATGCATACTTAACTTTTGCMTTTTCATTTCTTCATTGACTTCCTCAGCACCTAAAAAAAATTTGGAGGTTTTGTTGGGTACTTTCAAAGTTTTAAATATTTTAATCATTTTCTGTATTGTGATATTATGGTTGTAACTGTATTTTGTAATCCTCCAAATTATTTTGTTTAATTATTTTTTGTTATTTCATTTCAGATATTTACTCTTTTAAGCCTTCTGGTTTGTCCCTGTATCTGTCTTCGTTGTTTCCACAAGTGTCTCATCAGTTTGGGTTTGTGTCAAATCTTTACATCTGTGTGTTTTGTTTTTCAGGTGTGCCCGGAAGGTCTTGGTCTGATTATTTGCATTTTTGTCTTACCTGTCATGGTTTTGCAGTACAGAAGGACTCAATAAACTCTGACTTTGTTCAATCTTCTGYTGCCCGTGTCCTGAATTTGAGTCCTCCTTTCAACCACCATTCATCATTTTTGTGAACTTAGCTTCGTCTTATTTTTCCAATCTCATCATGTCCACATCCTTGTAAGAACATTGCAATTGAGCAGACRCTTTGTCCTAGATGTTCTGAGACTGAGATTAAGAAACAATAGTGACCGAGGCTTTGCAGTGCTTGTTTCATATCTGTAGAACATCTTACCTGTCCTTATACACACCTCTCAGACTGTAGATAATCACATCACTACTCAACTCTTCTCTTTGGCTTTCAGTTTGAGTGGGATAGGACATCTTTGGAGGTTTTTGTCTTATTGTCAGTTTATTTCTAACAAATGCTGTTTCATTTAAGTCACACTGCCTTCTTGTTTTGTTGTAACATTTGTTTGGTTGATGCTATGCAAGGGTTAGGCTAATTTTCGGTTTTGAATATCAATTTTATCCATGATTTCTGATGATGGTATGATCTCTTTTTTTACATAAAGGAGCTTGCAGTGTGTTTTCATGCATTTTTAAAGAGGTTTTTTTTTAGATATTTTGCATTGTCATTGT